GAGAGAGAGAGAGAGAGAGAGAGAGAGAGAGAGAGAGGGAGAGGGAGAGGGAGAGAGGGAGGGAGTCAGTCTGGGCTGGGACCGGGACTGAGGCTGGGAGAAAGCAGGGGCAGACACATGCCAAGGGCCTGGGAAAACTAAGCCCACAAGTAAGACAGTCAGCCCCTTACAACCCCAGGAAGCTGGGGGTCTGGGGCAGGGCACCCAGAAGGGGTGAGAAAAGGTTGAGGTGAATGGAGGCTGGGGAGATGGAGGCGCACAGCAGGCCCCTGGTGGGGGAGGGTACTTGCCAGTTCGGGGAGCAGGGGGGGCCCTGCCAGGCGGCACTGAGCCCAGCCTTCCAGGACCCAGAACCCAGCCCAATCCCCGCCTGCAGACACTCACGGATCCTGGTGGGACGGAGGGCTGGGCTCCCTCGAGGCCCGAGGAACGACAATGACAACAGGAGATGCTCTGGCGCTGGGTGGTGGTGTGGCTGGGGCGGGGGGGAGAGGGCAGTCCACAGGGCCCCCTCCCCCGCCGCCGGCGGTGGCCCCCAACTAATCCAAAACGGTGGCTCCCCAGGAGCAGGGAGGAAGGACAGGTGGAAGAGGAGAGGGCGGGCCAGGGAGGGGAGGAAGGGGAAAGGAGAAAATGGAGGAGAGAAGGGGAGAGAGGAGAGGGGGAAGGAGCAAATGGAGGGGAAGGAGGAAGGAAAGGAGGAAAAGAAGGTGAAAACAGAAAGGGGGGGCACAGGCAAAGCCGGGGGAGGGGGAAGCCGGCCCGGGAAAGGGCCCCCGCCCCCTCCCCTAGCCAGGCCGGCCTGGGGGGGCCACAGGGGGCGAGGACTGGGTGGAGAAAAGGAAGCCGGCCATCAGGAAGAGTGGGGGAGGGGAGGGCCTGATTGGGGGGAGGGGGCCACCCCCTTCCCCCCTCCCCCCAGAGCCTTGGCCCTGCCCTGGATGAGGCAAGGGCCTGGAGTCCTCAAGCCCTCAGCCCCCAGGGGAAAAGCATGCTGGGGGCCAGGAGAGGCCCTGGAGCGGAGGGGCTGGAGAGGATGGGGTGCTGGGAGACCCAGAGAGGCTGAGAAGGGGGCAGATGAGGTGGAGAAATGGGGAGGAAGGAAAGGAGGAGAGGAGGAGGGAGGGGAGGAGGGAAGAGAGCAGGTGGAAGAAAAAGGCGGAGGAGGGTGGGGTGTCCCGGGGGCTCCCGGGTGCAGGGCCTCGGCGGGAGGGCCTGGCCACAGACTCCTGGTCCCTTTCGAGCAGCAGCCGCTGCTGCTGCCACCGGCTCCAGTCCCTGGCTAGGCCTGCCTCCCACTGCTGGCCGCCGCCACCGCCACTGCTGCCGCCACCGCTTGTCTCCCCTCCGAGGCCGCCGCCTGCCTGCCCGCCCGCCGCCCGCGCTGGGTCCTGGAGCGCAGGGGGGCGGGGTGGGGGGGGAGAGAGATGAGGGAGGGAGGGAGGCAGGGAGGAGGGCTGGCAGGAGGAAGGGAGGGAGGCAGGCAGAGAGCAAGGAGGGAGGGGAATCGGGGGAGGGGGAGCCCGTATTGGTCGGGGCTGGGGGCCCCCGCGAGGAGAATGCTGATGAGAAGAAGGAGCTGCATTGGATGGAGGGCCCACCCCTGGCCACCCCCTCCACCACCCCATGCCACCGCCCTGCCCAGGCAGCCCTGGGCACAGGAGCCTACGGAGATGAGAGGCGGGGAGACCTGGGGAGAAGGCCATGGAGATGGGGGGAGAGGGCTACGGGAGAAATGCAGAGAGATGAAAGACAGCCATCAAGACCCAGAAATGTGGACTAAGTCCCACAAACCCACAAGGACAAGGACAGGGAAAAGCCCTGGGATAAGAAAGCACCAAGGAGACAAGGGAG